ATCTATCACAGTAAACCAGGAAAGAAGCCCAGCCTCCTTCAGTTCATCACCATGACACTTAGATGAAATAATCTGCATACATTGATCTATCCAAAATATCATAATGCAATAAACTATTGTCACTATTTTTAATAAACTATCTTGGCAATCATCACACAGGAAATATTAAGGTCCTACAAAGTGCATGCTTTCAAACAAGCTTTGGTTGTCAGGAAAAAGCAAAACAAATTATAGCACTGGGCTAAGGAAAAGTGCTACAGAAATAAAAATTGGCATGTGCCATTAATAACTTTGCTTCACTTTGCTTTATTTCGGTTTCTATCAACCGGTGTCTTTTAAGCAATTTCTGCTTAAAAGGATGGAGCAGCTTTACATTGCCTGGTCATTTTTTAAGTAGCCACTCTTTCCTGTTTAAGTTTTTCCTCCCTTACATATGCCATATTTAGTTTCCCCGCACCCCACCAAATAGCTGAGACTTTTCAAAATTATTATTTTTTACCTCTTTGTTCTGCTTCAGCATTATCTTAAGCTATTTTACCTCGCTCTATGTGTTAAGGGCTCAAGTGACGGATAACCTTTTCCCGGCTCCAGCGACATCCAACACACACCTGCTTCTAAAGCTTCTGGAAGATCACCAGAACTGCAATCAGAGTAACTTAATAAGGGTTTGGGCATGGAAACAGTCAGTTTTGTATCACAGTCACCAGCCCTGCTGATCTTATTACTCCCCATCTGCAACACCGTGAATTCTGGGTGTACTTTGTAAGGGAGATTATCATGACGGATAAAGCTTTCAGAACTGCTAGTCTAGAACTACTGGCCTTGTTCTGGCAAAACCCCAGTAAGCTTCCAAAGAAAACCCAGCATCCCTTGAATCTATGCGCAACATCACAACTACTGGAGAGCACAGGTGCTGTTTAGGCAGCCGGCAGCCACTGTCCTTTGCCTGCAGCAGCACTGGGGCTCAATAACAGTGGGTGCTGCTGCTGCTAGTGGTGTGGTAGCTTATGTAGTAGCACTGGCAAAAACAGGAACTCTAGAAAACACTCTGCTAACATTACCCAAAGACCTTAATCTATACCATCTCAAGGACTGCCATTTAGGTCTGAGTGCCGCAAGCTTTAGTTTCTCAGTGCACACTGTAATCAAGGTTCCTCGAGAAAGCAAGAGGCTCTAGGAATGGGATAACGGGGGTGCAAGCAGCAACACTGGAGCCAAATGCCATGGGCAAGACTGCCTGACTTTGCCAAAATGGGTAAACTCCAAAACTTAAAAGTACCTGTAACCAGCTTGGATCATCGTAACTGTGTCTTAAGATCCACTCTGTCGTTTTGCTTTGGAGAAGTTGAATAATGAGTGAATAAAGGCAACAACAGCGAGACACGCTCACGAAAATTTGTAACTATTAAAGAAAAATTAGACTGGCAGGCAATGCACAGAGGAGTCCTGCTCCTGATAGCTATTTTCATGCAGGACCTCCCTGGTGTTTTGCATTCCAGTGCTCATGCCAGAGATGAAGCCTGGAAAAATTAATTGGCTGACTCCTTTGCCATGAGCTAAGGGATAAAAAAGACACCTGTCATCAGCACAACACTCTACCTCTCTTACTTTTTAAAACTGATGGTTTGTTTGCTTTTTAGATTTCTCTAGGTGTGAATTCTATAGCTCCTGGGAGGCTGTCCCTGGCGCCACAGGATTTCTTCCATCTCCCTCTCATGAGGGTGAGAGAGAGATCTGCCTTGAAAGGTCAGCAGCTGGCAGTTCTCCATGATCAGACCTGCAACATCTGAGAAGACAAACAGAGTCCAGAGCAGGATGGACGAGGTGCTGGATCTACAGGATCCAATGTCCCCTGAATTTGGGGAGGGGGACATTCCAGTCCTGAAGCTACTGTAACTTTCCTCCCACTGGGAGCAATGAGAGAAGGAAGGTTTTTATTTTTTAAAAAAGTCATACAACTGTAGAAAGCCACATGAAAGACCATGGTTCAGTGACAGAACATCTGCTTTGCATGCAAAAGGTCACTGGTTCAATCCCTGACATCTCTACGTAGGGATGGGAGAGAACCATCCCTGAAAAGACACTGCTCAGCTAGATGGACTAATGGTCTGACTCTGTACAAGACAAGCACAAGTGGGTAGGGAAAGTGGGCTTCGTCCTGTCTCACAGATGTGCTCTGCCCACCAAAACCCATTTATCTAAACCAAGCATCATTGACAAGAGAGTTGGGTCTGGAAGCCCAGCTGTCTGTCGTTTTATCTTTTTGTTCCAATTGTTCTGCAACCAGTGGTTATAAATGGCCATGAATATAATTATCTAGAAACTGCCAGTTCATAAGGCACAGGTCTAATGATCCAAGTGGACATTGCAAACATCATTGTTTTTGGAATTGTACCTAAAATGGCAAATGGGCGTGTGCAATACGGCTGCTGACTCCTTCCCTTCCACCACACACACACACACACCGGCAATATATTGTTGCTCTTACAAATCTAGATGGCACCCACCTAGTAAAATACATGCAATTATGTCATCACTCCTATTAGTAAATGGGTGAGAGCGTGTGGGTGTCACCTGCACACAAACAGGCTAGGCACCAAAATACACCCAGGGGTAGGCCTGTGGTGGGTCTCTTCAATTGGGGGGGGGGGAGCGTGAAGAAAAAAATTAAGACTGCAGCCTGAGTGGCTTTGGGTGAGGGGCAGAAGGAAGGGATAATGTGCGCAGAGGCGTGTGTTTATGGAGGAGGAGGGAGCTCCAAGCCTAATCTGACCCCCCTTGGAGGATCCTTTAAACTTAGGAATTGTTCCTTCACAGTTTCTGGGAGCCTGAGGTGGGGGGTCCTCTCCCTGAGTCTTGGCTTTGGGGCCAGTGGGAAGCGGCAAGCTTCACATACATACACACACCCTTAGGCCCCCACCCCCAAAGCTGTCTTGAGGGCTGTACAGCTTCCACTGCAGCCCCTCTGCTTGAACGGGGCACCTGCCAATGATAGCAGAGAGGCAGCTGTACTTGGAGCCGGCTCCATACAGCCAGAAATAAGGACTGGGTAGTGGAAAAAGAGGAGAGGGTCAAATGAGGAACAATAACCTTCCTCCTTCCCCTGCTTTTCTTCTCTCGTTCTGCAACTTTCTACACAGTGCACTTCAAAGAGAAACCTTGTCTTCCCTGGTTAAGCAGGTATTGCATGCCTTATTGGGGTTTTCCTCTCACTCAGCCAAAATCAATGAGTGCTATGCAAATTCAGGAAGCTGGGCCCATCGTCCAAAGCCTAAGTTAGGTTCCTGCTAGAGTTAGCTACCTCCAATAAGCATATTTAGACCCAGAAGACCCTGTGTTTTTCCCCCCAGAACAATGAAGCTCTGCTAGCTTGTTCTCCCCAGCTTTCCAGGACAGGAAAGGTTGCCTCAGCCTCAGCAAAGCCACTCTTGCCTTGATCTGCCAGCATGGCAGGAACTGCATGGTGATCTGAATAGCCCTTGCATTGTGTGGAGAAGACAGCCTCTTTAACCTTCACAGAGCTGGGGATCCAGAAGGAATAGCTGCCATTCACATGGGCCTCTGCTGGGCGGGGGAAATGGGCAGGCTACGGTATTGCAATGAAAATGGGCAAGCCAAATTCTTCACCAAGAAAAGCAGAATTCTACAACCTGTGTACATTACGCAAATAGTCATAATTTATCTTGCTGCGCACAACTCTGACTCTTTCTTCTTCTGTTTTTAATTTAGTCACGGTGACGGAAAAGCCGTTAAGGGCCCTGAAGTCACACCACTGCAAATCCTATGCAGTCACCATGCTGCCTTCTGACATCTCACTAAGTGTTGCCCACACACGCTCCTTTGCAAACCAAGAGCTAGGAGCCTCCTTCCTATTTTTACCAAAAAAAAATATATGTCAGGAAATGGAATTCTATACCCAGTTCCATATGTTATGTGGGGGGGGGGTTGCTGCTTGCGTGGAATTACAACACACACTCACAAACAACAGCTCAGACAAGCTCTGCATATTTCTATTCTGCCACAGGATTCCACCCACCCACAACATCTGGGTGCTGTCTCATGCATCCAACATGGTGCCCTCTATATCTTTTGGACTCCAACTCCCATCAGCCCCAGCCAGCACGGCTAACAGGTGGGAACTGTACTCCAAAACATCTGGAAGGTCTGATGCTGGCTACCTTTGATTCAGACCACATCACCTCCTGTTCCTGCCTCAAACCCGTAACACCCCCATCCCCCCAAGTGTGAACCACTCTCCAAAATTCTGCCTGCCAATTTGGTATCTGAACTAGGTATCTGAGGCTCTTCCTTTGTGCCATAATTCTTCCCACGTTTCCTGCACCTGAAAAGTAGAATTTCTACCTACCCTAAATACAGCCTGAATGATGCAGGAGCCACTGGACCTTTCCATGCAGTCCAATCTGTGCACATCCCACAAGCATAGGTTGCTGCTTATATCGGAGCCATCCTTCATTCTCTCTTTATCCTGCAGGAGCTATCTTGCCCTGCACTTCCACCCTGGCTCTGCCACTTCAGGAGGGGTGTCATACACATCAAGTGAGAAGTGTCTCTGCCAAACTGGTGGATTTAGATGGTCCTTATCTGTTAAATATTGGAGGGGAAACAAGAGGATCAGGAACCCCCTAAATGCAGGACAGCTGAAGACTTGCATCTTGGGTGCCTATTAAATTCTCAAAAATGTCCCCTCCTGCACAGGTATTTGACCTACGGAGAAAGTAAGATTCTTGACTGATGGTTGCGTTTGGACAAACAGGGTCCTCTAGAGCAGTGTTTCCCAACCTTGTGCCTCTAGCTGTTTTTGGACTACAATTCCCATCATCCCTTGCCACTGGTCTTGCTAGTCAGGGATGATGGGAGTTGTAGTTCAAAAACAGCTGGAGGCACAAGGTTGGGAAACACTGCTCTAGAGCAGTGTTTCCCAACCTTGTGCCTCCAGCTGTTTTTGGCCTACAATTCCCATCATCCCTTGCCACTGGTCTTGCTAGTCAGGGATGATGGGAGTTGTAGGCCAAAAACATCTGGAGGCACAAGGTTGGGAAACACTGCTCTAGAGCACACTGAACCAGCAAATACAGCTGCTCACATTCCTGGAGGTTGTTGGTCAAGTTTTTATCTGCAGGGGTGTGCTGGTTTTCCTTCCGTCATTGTCCTCAACCAAGATGGAAAACTACAGTTTCTCTGTGACCTGTACTTTTTTACCTAGCCCAGCAGGCAGAAAATAGGTTCTTTACTGGTGCATCTCTCCTCCCAAGATTAGGGATGGATTAGGGATTCATTCTGGCCCTCCTAGTGAATCCTGGGATACAAAAGCTGTCCAGGTTACACACTGGAATATCACAAATAAAAGAGGCTTATCAAATTGCGGAGGACACTTCATAATGCTGACTGAGTAGGTTTAGGAGAACTGCCTACCTAGAATTGTGTTCCAAGTTTACCTGATGGGCGGCTCAAGAGCCTCTATTTTTCTCTAGTCCTATGCTGCCCAAGTGGAAAGAGACAAAATAAAAACCTGGGTGAGCCTGTTTGGATGATTGCACTGTCCTTCCATACCTTTGAGCGCTGTTGAATGAGCACCATCTGCCTGGAAAGACGTCGCAATGGAGCTTTGAAGTGAAACAGGAAGTCCCGCCAACCCGGCTTCCTGAATGTGCATATATGATTACCTCCTTTTGGCTAAAGCGAGGGGAAACTTGTCCGAGTGAAAAAACAGCTCCAGAAACAAGAGACGACTCACAGGTAAGTGTTAGCCCTCCCATTCAATCACTCCTCCTTCCTGCATTCTCACACCCCTTTCTCTCACTCTCTTGCTAACCTGCAGCGGTAGAACATAAATAAAGTGCATCAGAATTTCAAGGTGTCAAAGCCATTGTGCAGGAAGAGCCAGACCTGTGCAATCCTCTCTCTCTCCTTTTCCCAGACCAAGGAGTTTTACTATTGCAAACCACTGGACTTCAGATGGTTTTGGAGACATCGTGCTTGCTGATGAGGACCTCCAGCAGCCTCAGCTTGGCTTTGATGTGCTTGTATTCCAAGTACTCCTCTGCCATGGGGATGCGGTCCTCCTTTTGGGGAGTCCTGTAAAGCGGCAAAATTTGAATGCTGGGGCTTAAAAGGAGCAAGCATTCACAGAGCACTTCTGGCTCAAATATGACTTTTGTGCTTGTTTCTTTAATTATATGTTCCCACATATAACAAGGGGAAAGAAAATATAGTGCAGATATGTTTTTAGGAATTGATTTAAAAAAACAACCACATTCAGGCAGTCTTCTTCCAAAGAAGAAGCAAGTGAATGTTGGAGAGAACTGTACACAAGGTTAGGCTATGTGCTTGCTTGCGACAATGGGGTTCAGAGACTGTGGGACACCCCTGCACTCACACACATTAATACGTTTGTTAACATGTTGAAGACCATTGGGTCTCCTCTGTATGTGAGCTATTCTAATATGTGGTCTTTTCAACAAATCATAGGTGCTGTTCTCATCTACAAATGGCCAACAAATACTCAGGAGCAGGAGAGTAATCCCCAAAAGTGTACATTGTGGCAAACTTAAAACTGCCAGTATGCTAGGTAAAGGTAAAGGTACCCCTGCCCGTACAGGCCAGTCTTGACAGACTCTAGGGTTGTGCGCTCATCTCACTCTATAGGCCGGGAGCCAGAGCTGTCCGCAAACACTTCTGGGTCACGTGGCCAGCGTGACAAGCTGCATCTGGCGAGCCAGCGCAGCACACGGAACGCCATTTACCTTCCCGCTGGTAAGCGGTCCCTATTTATCTACTTGCACCCAGGGGTGCTTTTGAACTGCTAGGTTGGCAGGCGCTGGGACCGAACGACGGGAGCGCACCCCGCCGCAGGGATTCGAACCACCGACCATGCGATCGGCAAGTCCTAGGCGCTGAGGTTTTACCCACAGCGCCACCCGCCAGTATGCTGGTACAACTCAATTAAAGATGCCTGGGAACCCAACACACATAGACAGACAGACAGACAGACAGACAGGCAGGTAGGCAGACAAAAGTGGCTGTCCATTATATCTCTGCATGAATGGCTCCTCTGGACTTGTCTCCTTCCAATCAAAGACACATAGGGAGGAAGTTCTCCTCAGGAAGATACCTCTTATTCTTACACACCTCAGTAATAAACTTTTTTGTGGTGGAGGGCAGAGAGTTGTGAGCATGATGCGTGCCTGCCAATTTCAATTCCTAGGAAAAGAAGGCCACCTTTGCTATGGCAAAATGAGAAATCCTTGGCAAATCTTGTTTTGTGTAGTCACCAGAGGAAAATTCTCAGGATTTTAGTACTACAGGAGAAAGGCTCACTCAGAGATCTGTAGGCAACTTACTCTTCAGGATCTGTGACTGTCTAGGTCAGCAGCGACATACAGAAGGGGTACAGAGAACAGGCATGAATGTAGTTGCCTTACCTTCCTGTTTGCTTAAAGAACTGATCCTCAAATTCTCGTAACATTTTCCTTAGCCTTTTCTTATCAGCTCTTGTTTCTCGGAGATGTTCCAGCAGTACGGGCCTGCAAAAGGAGAATTGTATCTGAAAACACTGAAAGTAACAGACAGGTGACAGATTTGGGCTCAGGAATATGCACGCAGCTTCAACAGGTGCTCCTCATTTTGCTAATTAATTTCAATAGATATTGAAAGTTCTGACAAGACACAGAGTGATTTACAGTAATGTTTTACACTAATTATTATTATTATTATTAGGCAAGTAGGAAAGGTTGTACTACATTAGGCCAATTTCCAATACGTATTTACTGTTTGTAGCTGTGGGTTATTGTCAATGCCGTAAAAAGCCTATTAGCACAGGCATGAACAAATAAATATATCCTCTGTTACATTAGACATGTGAACAGATGGCTTAGGATCACTTCAAAGCACAATGCGAAGAGATGACGGGGAGATTTGCGCTTTTTGTTCCCCACACTTCTGCATCTTGTCAGAAACCGTATCCCCCCTAAGGAACAACCGTGCTATTTTGTTCAGTTTAAGAAACAAAAGTCAGTCCTCACATTGTGGCCTCGTGCAAGTTGGACATTGACAGGGCAGGCTGTTTGACTGCTTTCTTTTCATCCAGGGGTGACACAAAGGCAGGCTCATTCTCCTCATCTGAATGACAGAGATGTTCGTCAGAAGGCAAATGGAGGGACATGGCAGAGGACAATTCATAGCTGCTCTGGGAGTGATCTTCATCAGAATCTTCCTCCTCCTGCTTGTAACATAGAATGAGGGTTATCAAATTAATTACCTGCATGCACATCGGTGGAAAGGGAACATAAAATAGATCTGCACCAGAAATAACTACTGAAAAAGTTCCATACAAAGTACATGAGATTAACCATGGTTAAAAAACAATACTAAGAAAATGTGACTGACAGAATCTCCTCAGGACATAAGCTACACACTCTTAATCAGGAATTCACATGGTCATTTCCACAAGGGAATTAGCTTTGTGTGACACCGCCTCTTAACATGAATGTAAGAAACTGCAATTTCTGGGATCTAGTTTTCCTTCAGAACCATTTCCATGGAGCTAGCCTTGAAGCCCAGGCCTAAACAAGTAAAAATGCTGAGTGTCCAATGCATTTTATTTCTTGGGAATAATGCTTGTGTTTGCAGCCTTACTCATGTAAGCAGATTGCCACAGAAAAGAAAGTGAGGCACACCCTTAATGGGGCAGCAACAAACAATTTGGCTTACTTCACTCTCATAAAAGACACCTTCCCAAAGGATGGTCATTGTTTCCCAATACTGTACAAGCTTTGTATTTCAAAGTTTGAGCTAGACACAGTGGTTACTTTTTAAAAGAAGAGAACCCGAGGACTCAAATCTGCCTGGGATGCAACTTCCCTAATCCAAAAGATGGGGATACCCAGGGATGTGGGAAAGGAAGGGCAGGACACATCAGGATTCCTGTGGGAAACACCGGTGTGAAGGCCAGTGTCGTGCACCAAGTGTGGAAATAAACAAAGTGTGCACATGTCAATTGTGTCCCCCAGATGTTGCTCCCAGGGATTTACAGATATATGTATGGACATATTTAACTTCCAAGGGTTATTTGTCTGCTGTGGAAACAGGGCCGGATTTAGGTTGGATGAGGCCCTAAGCTACTGAAGGTAATGGAGCCCTTTATATGTCCAGCTGTCCTTTGTCAAAAACAAATTGTTGCTGTTTTTCGTGTTGAATATATGCTATATGGTAATTTATGGACCTAATAGGTATCTAAAGCCATTTGTACATAACAAAATATTTATTTTATCAAAGTCATTGTTGAACTGAAATACAATTAATACAGGGGTTTTTCCTTTAATTTTTTTGAGGGCCCCCAAGAGAGTGGGGCCCTAAGCTATAGCTTGTTTAGCTTATACATAAATCCAGCACTGCGTGGAAAACACCAGCGTAACATTGGTTTCCAGCAGTAGTCATAGATGTGTTGTCAATCTGCAGGGTTAATTAAAACTGTAAAACAGTAAATTTATTTTTTGAAAAAGCAACATCAATCATTATACAGAGAGGCAAGATGGAGCCTAAATAAACACTGTACTGGGCATTCTGAACAGCTGCTATTCCATTCTTGGGAACAATATTTTGCAGTTCCCTTGGTTGTACTATTCCCTCAACACATTCCGTGAGAAGGATTCCCTAGGGGGCAAAACGCTTCATATGAACGGAGCCTTTAAAAAGGCAAAAGTTTGGGCAGATTTATTTTCGCAACCTCCTTTGGACTTACAATGGTTGTGATCAAAGATGGCGTCGACAGAAGCTGCTTGATAATTCTGTATCTTTCATAAAGGGGCTTCATCAGACTCCTATCTTGCTTGTTTCCCTGAAAAGAAATAAGAAGCAACACCATACTGACTCTGGCAACACAAGATGTCTGTATTGTGCTGGGTGCCAAAGAAGAAGCGTTGTTGGTCCTAATCTATACGCTGCTTTATGTTTCTTTAGCATAAACAGTAGCAGGAGGGAAGTGTGACTCTGGCTTTAAAAAAAAAACCACAAATGTACTTCGTGCCACTGCTTTTTTTTTTTTTTTTGCAATAGGGATTTAAAAACGAGGAAGTAAATTCCTGGTTGGCTAACAATTTCACTGGAGCACCAGGTTTGTGTTGAAGTTGGACTCCAGTAGTCCTGCCAAAGCAGATGGCCAGCAGTGCTGGGATCAAAATTGCCACTGTCTCTGTACACTCCTTGCCCCTGACAACTGCATGATCCATTGTCGCAAAATACTGGCACTGTTATGGCGCTGGGTGCTTGGTTTAGTGACTTGCTGTTGACTGTCAGTCAACATAAGGATTGTCAAGCCGCGGACTGTCCAGATATCTACCAACCTCTCCTTTGACATAATTGAGTCTTAGCACCACGATTAATTTCTGCCTCAAAATAATAGGAAAGAGGGACTCAAGTCAAGACAAAATAGGTAATTACACTGAAAGAAGTCATACATTTTTGCCTGTTCCTGGTGGCTGAAAGGATTTCGTTCATGTCATGTCCTCAAGATTGTCCATTCTTATGGAAGACCTAGTGAAAATGCCAAGGCACCAACTATGCAGTTCTAGAAACCACATTATGGACAGTTACAATGAGAAGCAGTACAAGTAGGTTTGGCTCAAAGGTCATTTTGACAGACGTCCCATCCTGGGAAAGTTTAAAGGCACTGGTAACCGGAGAAGCTTATGGAATTCAGTATCTGAGAATCCTCATTTGACCTGACCTGATCTGAACCTCGCTGACAAAGATGCAGATTGAAACTTAAGTTGTCCACCAGATTTTTAAACCGGATGTTCCAGCGGCTCAAAAATAGTAACAAAACATGCTTAAACATGCATATTTTGAAGAAAAAATACATTTGCAACTAAATGATTTAAACATGTAGCTAAATGCAAATTCGTGTGCAGATTTTAAAAATCAGAAATGGGTTTGATTAGTGACACAGACCAGAAATAGACTGATTTGCCAATCCACATTTGCAACCTTCAGTTATGGTGTAATCCTCCATTTCCACAATATATAAGATCTGTACATTCAGGGCAGCAACTACACAAACACAAAAGCCCAGCGTAATCAAAGACCAAGAGTAGACTTAAAAATCCCTCTACTGCAAACATCCCACCAGTTCAAGCATTGCAGCCAGATGAAACTCTCCCCCCTCTCCCTCCCCAGTGCTGTTCTGGGGGATCACCCCCCAACACCAACCCTGAGCCAACTGAAGGGGACAGGTGCAATGAGATAGCCCCATTGCCCAGGACTTCCACTAACATGGTGTGTTGGGTGAAGCCCACCTTAAGTAAGATATGAACTTTGCTGTAGGATGAATGGAAAACCAAGAAGCAAATCCTTAAGTATATGATGCATGGGGAAACATGCAATAGTCAGGGTACTGGAAATGAGAGGAAGAAAAACTGAGCAGATCTGGAAACGAACGTATGAAGCTCCCTAATACTGAATCCTTATACAGTAATATCCGAGGCCCCAGACAGGACGTTTCTCCAACCTGCAACCAGCAATCCTTGAACTGCAGAGGCCAGGGCCTGGACCTGGGACCTTCTCAGACAAGACATGTGTTCTCTCACTGAGCTATCCTCAAGCAAATCAGCTGAGGGTGGACCGAAGGAGAGGGAGAGGGAGACAGACTTTCTTTTTAGTCCAGTTCAACTGATGTGTGAGAAAGCAGGAAGTAAATATTTGCATCATTAGCCTCTTCAACCCTGATGCAGAGGCACAGGCACACAAGCCCAGTAGCTTTAACTGCATGCAGCATCATTGCACAACCAGAAAGGAAGCCCCACTGTTCCTCTGTGTGAGGACGAAACCACACCCCCTCTGGCAGGCCACCACTGCCTGTGGCGTGGCCACGCTAAGGCAGCAAAGGGGCCAGCCCCACAGATCCACAAAGGTAAGTGGCTATTTCTGCTGTTAAAGCTGTAATGCATAGCATACCGTACATAGCTCCAAAGCCAGCCACGGGAACCAAGTCTGCATTACCTACTGCTCAAGGTGGCAATTCAGCCCCAGGAAATACATGTGCAGAGTGTGTGCGGTTCCTGAGCCATTGATATCTGCAGGTCCACCTTAGCATATGCTGGGAGACACCTAATTTCTCCTGCATGAGCATGCACAGAAAGAGGCTTGCTCTGTCCATCCGTAAAGACACCGGTTTCTTTTGCTTTATTGTACTTTCTCTTTTCCCACACATAAATCTCCTGTTCTGAAATGCTTTAACTAGAAAACATCTACACAGAATCAGGAAAGTCAGTCCTCCCTTTGCCAGGTTTTAAGTACCCATCAGGTTGCACACATAAAACTAGCTAATCAATAGGCAGGAGATTTCAATCCGTTCTCTCCACTTCCATTTATACATTCCATGTAGGAAAAGCAAGAAGGAGCATGAAAAGAAGCATTATATTCCACTGTCTAAAAGAAATCTATGCCTCTCCAATTTGGACATGTGCATGGACTTGCGCAGGCAGAAGTTGTACCAAAACACAATACACGTGGAATAATTACAGTTTGGCCTCAGCTTGTCCAAGTCTCAGTGAAAGAAATGTGACTTTTAGGAGTGACCAATATATGCACAAATGCACACATCGCCAAACCCGGAAACGTGATAAAAGACATCACTAAAAGGGCAGAAGAGGGGTGGGGCAGGGCAGAAGGGGGTGTTTCAATTGCATGAGTTTTCACACAAGCGTGCAGTGACTCGGAATGGAACCCCGTGCAAATCGGGGGTTGCCTGTACTTGCAACTGACTTATTCCGTGTACTCAGCACAGCTTGTAACATTAGCCCCAACAAACCTCAGCTAGATTAGGTCCTCTTCTTTCTGTGCTGTATAACCATCTGCAGGTTTCTGAATTATGCACAAAGCCTTGAAGACCCCTTAGAAAGTGGCTATATTTCAAAGTGATAAAGCTTACAGAGTTGTTTTGATGAATCAGTCAAAGGTTCCTCGCTCCCTCCAGCACCAACAAGTGTCATTTGATATCCTATTCTTTGAGTTTTCTCTCTGATTCAGAAAGCACTGTGGGCCTTTCGATCCGTCTTCATGCAGGCATGTACCTAATTAGATTGGGTTAACCTGGAAGGCTCTCTGAAAACATGCCCCAAAGCTCATCAAATTTAATTTAATTATCATCCGGGGGGGGAATACAAATGCATTTGATTTCCTTTACTATCAATCTCCCATAAATTGTTTCAGGTAATCTCAGTTTACAGCCTTATTGTACTTGACTCGTAAACTTGGGTCCCCACTGCAAGGTGGGGACCAAAGGTGGACAAACTACCCCCGAAGGAGCACGACGTGTTTCCCACCAGAGGTACTATGCTTCCTGACCATAAGAGATCCTCCATCCTTGCTAGAGTGGAGTAACTTCAACCTTGTTTGTAAGTACCGCAGGCTGTCTGCACTGAATTTTAGGCAAAGGGGACAAAGTTCTCTCCTGGTATTAGCCTTGGCTCTCGTGCAACATCTTCTCAGGCAGCAGCTTACAGGACTGGGCAGAGATGGGGAAAAACACCCACTCCCCAATCTTATTTTGCAGGTGCCATGTGAGCGCACACATTTAACTAATCCTAGACCAGTTACAGCTGCCTGAAAAGTTCTGCAATTTGTTTTAAACTTCTGAGGATTAACGGGGATAAACCAGCTTTCATATATATGCTTCTGACAGAGCTCATGATTTCTTGGTATAATTTTAAGTAGCCGAATTAAATTGTGGCCAGGGAGCAGGGCGGGGGATGGTGGGGGGGTGATAAGCAAGCAGAGGAAAAGCCGCTAAGGGTTGTTTTTGGATTTAATTTATGTACTGATTTATATGGGTGGTTTTATAATCCACTCTTCATTAAAATCAATCCCAGAGCAGGGAAAATCATAAAAAATATATGCTACGTAATAAAATATAACAATCCGGAAAAAATCAAACCACCACAACAATAAATCAATTTTACAGCACAGCACCGCAAGAGTGACAAAGCATCTCCTACAATCACTGTAAGGATGGAAGTGAAATTTGATTCAGTTCTCATTTCAAAGGTGAAGCTACCAAATTTGGTAGATTCTGAAACAATACACGATCCAAAACTCATCCACTGTTTGAAACTGACACTTCTCCGAATATTGCAATGCACTTCTTCAGCTTGTCCTCCATGAATTTGTCAAATTCTCTTTTCTAACCATCCAAGTGTCCATCACCACCACTTTGGGGAGAGAATGAATCCCTGTGCATCACAATGACACCCACACTGGACAAAGACTAACTCCATGTAGCTCACCCAACTCAGGTCTCAGTAACACATGCCAGGTTGGCCCCCGCATCCACGATTAAACCGTGGATGATAGATCCTTTATTTTGGATAGATCTGATATATAATAACAACAGCCTAGGTTATGTTGGTAAGCAACTGAGCCAGACAAGTCAGGCTGAGATGGAAAAGGTTCACATTGCAGAGAAGTTAACTTAAAAACAAAGCTGATCTCCACTGGTGCTATGATGCTGCATTCCCTTTCTAGGTCAGATTGCCTATCAGACTACAAACGACAAGAAGAAGAAGAAGAAGAAGAAGAAGAAGAAGAAGAAGAAGAAGAAGAAGAAGAAGAAGAAGAAGAAGAAGAAGAAGAAGAAGAAGAGTAATAGTAGTTTGGATTTGATATCCCGCTTTATCACTACCCTAAGGAGTCTCAAAGCGGCTAGCATTCTCCTTTCCCTTCCTCCCCCACAACAAACACTCTGTGAGGTGAGTGAGGCTGAAAGACTTCAGAGAAGTGTGACTAGCCCAAGGTCACCCAGCAGCTGCATGTGGAGGAGTGGGGACAAGCAGATTAGCCTAAACTGAGGGTCATGTAGTTACTGCCTAAAAATCATGATCATTGGATACCACCTTGGACATAAGGCAGGACTCAAAAATGTCTTTTTAAAAACCCTTGGGGCTGATTTAAACATGGGAACAGCCACACAAAGACCGCGGAGAAGCATCTTCCTGTGCAAATGATTTATACAGCTGATGAGACCTTGATAAGCCTTGAGTCCAGTGCCCTGGAGTTCCTAAGTGGGTTGCTGCTTTATGACGGTCTCCACATGGCCATCATCACAATTAAAAGAGCCCTCATCCCTTGTTTTGAAGATGTTGTGCCCAGTCCAGCAAAACAGAGATGTCCTTGTCCCACTGATTTCAATGGGACACTATCTCTGGACTGAGGCTGTTATTTTTGCCTGTATCATTTGTCTAAGACCAGAGAGCTCACAAACAACACACACAAGGCCTAAAGTCTTAAGACACATGCTTCCTAATTAAGTTGTTGACATATAAACGAGGCCCATTGTGGTCTTCCCTCCGTCAACTGACATCTAGCAGCCATTCCACCAGGCTGTGGCAGAGCAAGAGGTGGGAAGCAGGGACACTCCATCAGTTCGGCCGAGAGACTAGATCCATCAAGATGCCCTCTCTTCTCAATTGTCACCCAACAGCAGCCAATCTATCAGGCTGCAGGGAGGAGATGGTGGGCAGGGCTGTTCAGCTGAGAGACCAGCTCCAACTGACTCCTCCTCTTCTTGAATTGTTTATATTCCTACAGGTGGCCATTACAAGAACTACTCTGTATTCTTAATAATGGATGTCTATGCTGACTTGTTTTCCTCATCCCTCCTCGTTGCCTTTTCCTTTTGTGTTATGTTCTATAGACTGTAGTCATGCAAATACAGGACTGTTTTGTTTTTATCTTGCCTAAGCTGCTCAGGTGGGACGCGGGTGGCGCTGTGGGTAAAAGCCTCAGCACCTAGGGCTTGCCGATCGAAAGGTCGGCGGTTCGAATCCCCGCAGCGGGGTGTGCTCCCGTTGCTCGGTCCCAGTGCCTGCCAACCTAGCAGTTCGAAAGCACCCCCAGGTGCAAGTAGATAAATAGGGACCGCTTACTGGCGGGAAGGTAAACGGCGTTTCCGTGTGCTGCGCTGGCTCGCCAGATGCAGCTTTGTCACGCTGGCCACGTGACCTGGAAGTGTCTCCGGACAGCGCTGGCCCCTGGCCTCTTAAGTGAGATGGGCGCACAACCCCAGAGTCTGGCAAGACTGGCCCGTACGGGCAGGGGTACCTTTACCTTTACCTTTTAAGCTGCTCAGGCAGCATCTTTCTGCTGAAGAGTGCTGCAAAAAAAGGGTTTTTTTAAATATATATATATATATAGAGAGAGAGAGAGAGAGAGAGAACTCTCCCCCAATCTAAACATTAGTGTTCTATTGCACACCTCTCATTCCTAGTGGAAGTTTCATGAAACATACTGACCAGGAACTGCACATTTTCTCTGAACAGCCTATCACTTCTTTGTCCATCCAAGACTTCTTAAAGACATTATTTGTAAAGGATGGACAGTATCTCCCCCTGCAGTTTTTGTATAAATCTACTAAACTGTTTCATTTAACTCTTCGAAACTGTTGGTGGCAAAACGTGGAGCTACACTGAAGGGGTGGGACAGCAATGCATGGAAACTGCCACTGCCTTTTTGGTGGCTCGGCACATGACAAACAGGCCCAACAGTTCAGGAGCTGAACTTGGCTTGAGGGTGCGCAAATAGAAATACCGTACAAGAGCCGTGTTACCTTAACGTTCTCGGGGATATGGAGCTGCTGCCGCTTCTCGTTCAGTCGTTTCATCACGGCATCCATGGTTTCTTCTACGGAGGGGCTCGGGGGAGCTCCTGCTGTGTCCTGCTTCACAGTCTCTCTGGAGCTCTCCTGATGTAGGTTCCTTTGAGTTGCTTTGAGGGGGCAGCTTTGTTCTTCTGACAGTTTGAGTTTCAGCTCTGGGAGGAAAATTCCCAGGATATGAAATGAGCAACCACTTGCAACACATTCCTTCTGCCACCACAAAATGTGCACACACACACACACACCATCACCACATTGAGCTGGATTGCTCACATACAACCCTTACAGGTGACCCACAGAGTTAAATGCAATCCCCCGTCCATATATGGTAGCTCAAAAAACGCGTGTTAAAACCCCTGGTTTTAAGAACTAAAAAGATCCCTGATGAATCAGATCAAAGTCCAGCATCCTGTTCTCATAATGGCTACCCCTTTGCTTACTGCATTTGGGGTTCCTCCTCCTCATTCTGCTTCTGAGTGTGGCCCTGGATCCTTCCTCCCACATCCTGTCCTTGCGACACGCCTCTGATGCATCGACATCAGTAGACTCAAACAGACTTAAATCACTCCAGCTTCCCACAGGAAGATCTGCATCTGAATTCCACCCGCTGTGGCCATTCTCAACTTTGCACATGCCTTCATAATAATGGTAATACAGTGGTACCTCAGGTTAAGTACTTAATTTATTCCGGAGGTCCATTCTTAACCTGAAACTGTTCTTAACCTGAAGCACCACTTTAGCTAATGGGGCCTCCTGCTGCTGCCGCGCCACCGGAGCACGATTTCTGTTCTCATCCTGAAGCAAAGTTCTTAACCCGAGGTACTATTTCTGGGTTAGCGGAGTCTGTAACCTGAAGCGTATGTAACCTGAAGCATCTGTAACCCAAGGTACCACTGTACGATGATTAGGTTACTTGTCCTGATTTATTCCACTTTGCATTTTGCAAAAAACCAAAAAAGCCAACCTCATCTGTCTCATCATGCAGCATAACCCTCATTGTTAATTGAAGAAAAAATATGAAGTGGACGTGATTTCCTTCTGGTTGGGATACAGCTTATAATGGAAGCCTAAGAAACTCACACTCAAGGGAATACCCGACACTCACAACTTCACAGAATGGGGGGAAATTAAGTGTTTAAAGCAGTTTGGTAACACAGGATCAAACGCATCACTTAACTATGAGTGTGTAAAAGGTATCAGTGTAATGAAGCTATTAGCTCAGCATTAACTTCATTAGTGTTGCACTCTGTGGCACTGAGGGAGATCAATGACGCTGCTATTTAAAATTACAGGAAAAGGGATGGAATCTAGCAAGCCTGATTTCCATTCAAGCCCCATTCATTTCATTGAGGCTTCCACAGGAACAGCTCCTGGCAGACTGCACTTTACAGGGCAAATCTACACTGCCAGTTCACACAAGCTTAACCCAACAGCCTTCTCCCTAGAGAAAACTGAGGACTAGGGTAGTGGGGCTGGGGTATTGCTACAGTTCCTAGGATGCTTTCAGGGAGGTGATAGCTGTTAAGACTTGGGTAAAACCAGTTTTGTGTATTCTATAGCAGTCCTGTGCACCTCTCCTAGATGTTGCAGGACTACAACTCCCATCATCCCTGACCTTTGTCCATGCTGGTGGGGGATTATGGGAACTAAAGTCCAACAACTGTCCACTCCTGCTGTTAGGAAATTAGTTGCTTTTCTGGCAAGGTTCAAGACAATATTAAATATCGGACTTTCAGCATCTAGCTGAATTTGACCCTCCTTCAAGCACTAGTGAGAAATGACTTCCCCTGTGTCTTCCACCAGATTTATTGGTGAAAGAGAAATGACCTCTCCTACAGACTGCAGCTGATAGTTGTGTGTACCTTTAAGCTGTTTCCGACTTTTGGCCAAGTCGTTCATCCATTTCATTACTTCGGGATTCGATATTTTGTCTGCGTGAGAAGGCTGGACAGGAAAGAACAAGGGGGAAACCAGGTGGTTAGACTGTGGCTGTTGTTATTCATACAGCTCTCGTTATTAATGGGCAAAGTTGCCCCCATACATTCTGCATTTATTAACCCAGAATATATAATGTTCCAGCTGACATCTGGATTGTGGTCCAGGCTGGGTCAAAAGTAACCTGACTGCCAAACTCTGTTATACACTGATGGCATCCAAACCCCACTACAGTCTAAATGGCAAAAATGACTTACCTGCCCTTTCACCAGCCTCTATAATAAGACTGCACATTGCTGCTCCCTAACCTTGCTAGTGCCCAGGTGACTACTGGCTCTTTTTGCTTAACGTGGCAAGTGTATCTGATAACCAGCACCTGAGTATTTGTGACATCATTGCTTAACTAGCCCAGACCTTTATGAGGTCACTTGTAGTTATGAGGTCACTTGCAGCCATCAAGACTAGTGACTGCCATGTCTCTCACCAACATAAATACTAGTAAAGCAGATTTGCATATGCTTTGGACCCAGGAAACAACAAGAAAGAAACATAATTTAATCCAGGCACATAAACACTGTGACCCAGCAAGTCAAATGAAGTCTCATCCACCTCATCAAACACCACAGAAACATGTGTGGTTTCTCACCCGATAATTCTTCTCTTGCTCAAACTTTTCTTCATATTTCCTGATTTTCCTCTTAAGACTTTGCAGGTGCTTTGTGAGTTGTGCTATCGTCTGTGGCTCTTTGCAGTCATCACAGCTACCTCTGGAAGAACTTCTTGGCCTACAAAGGTAGAAGTAACGAAAATGTCCTAAATGTGAAATTGCTTTGCAGGATTAGGTCTACAACTGCAATGGAGACCATGAAGGAGGGTGATGAGGGAGGGATAATAACAGATAGAAGGAGAAACGGAGGAGTGGTATGGCCTGGTCTGGCCTGCTTGTTCCTTGAAAAGCTATGGAATCTGCTGAAAGCAGGAAGTGAAGCTTTGCATGGAAATGAGGACAGTCACCTGCTAATGTCTACACGTCAAGCTGCTGCTAAAGACACATAGCCACAGTGCTTAGTTCAGAAGTTGGCAACCCCATTCACCAGTTGGGCAGGTCTGCTTTAAATCCCAGAAGTCCACCTGGCACCATGATTTCTATACTGTTCAAAGATGTGATTAGCAAAACAGGGGCTGGAGTTGGAAACCTCTTTCTATGTGTGTGTGTGTGCTGGGACAGAAGAAAGGAATACAGTGGGGATGGGAACATGTGACCTTCCAGAAGTTACTGATGAAAGGTTACTCTCATAGTCCCTGACCATTGGCCTGTCAGGAGCTCGTCCTACACTCGAGTAGGACCCTGGTGGAGTCAAATGCCCAGCTGGCATGTTCTCCCCCTCCTGGTGGTTCATTCGGGAGCTTCAAAAGCTTTCTTCAGCCCAAACATCAAAGCGACCAATTGCCAACAGACATCAGCACACTTAGGGATCTGCAGAGTCTTTGCAGCTTGCGTAACAGACCTCAGCAACTCAGCATTTTGGCTGATCTACTTTATTTACAGATAAACACACATGGAGCACTGCAACATGGCTCCTTCTCTCTCGAGCATCAGACAGCAAAGGTAAAGAACATAGGACACTAGTCCCACTTCACAGAACACTGTAACACAAACATCCTGTCTCCGTCACTTCCCACTTTGTGGAGGCAAAACATACACCGTCATGAGATAGAAAAAAATCCCATGACTGCAATCATGGAGCAGGAATTCTAACATGGCCATGCTGACTGAGGAAGATGGGGATTTGGAGGGCACCAGGTCCCCCCACCCCTGCACTGAAGAATCAGGAAAGTGAAGAGGACTAAGACAGAGCATAAGACGGAAGGATGATCTTCACTTGATCCAGCATTGGCCCTCAGTTGGCTAGAGTGATGGGGATGCCCCAGGAAGGGGAACAAGTGATCAGTCCAGGGCTCTCCAGCAGTATCTGAACGCACCTAAGATTTTTAAAGGGACTGCTAAGACATGTGGCAGTGCTATTCTCAGATTAGATTGGCAGAGGGACGGAGTATTTAAGGGTCATCAATGTATATTTAATATTTTTTAAAAATGTTTGTTTTTTTAATTAAAAAACAAAACAAAACACCACTTCTCCCAATATTATTATTTCACTTCCTCTTGAGAGAACCCAGCTCTCCCTTTTGCATCCTGGGCCAAGCTCATTCGCACTACATGCCTCTCGCATATACTCACTGTACAACAGATAAAAATAGGAACACATTTTATAACATCTCTGCTCTCTTACCATGAAACTCTGCCTCAGCCCCACAGTTCTGGTGCTTCTATTCAACCTGCTCCATGATGTATCCTTTTACTCTGCAATAGCCTGCCTACCATGGATCGAAAGTAACAACACTGACTTCCATCATAGGGTTATTATAAATATTTCACCTAGATAATGTATACGAAGCACTTGGGACACTTGAAAGTGTTATGCAAATATTATGTATTATCAGTGCTTTTCTTTAAAAAAATGTTTAGGGGGCCTCTCATTTTCCTACTCGTATTGAAATACTGCCCCTCAAACTTAGATACACAAAATGTTTAGGGGTGTGCGTCCCCCCAGAAAAAAGGACTGCATATTATTATTATTATTATTATTAGCCAAGATTATGCTTGTAGCACAATTGAGCTCATCTATTTTATCTTTTTTGGGGCGCGGGTGGCGCTGTGGGTAAAACCTCAGTGCCTAGGACTTGCTGATCGTATGGTCGGTGGCTCGAATCCCCGCAGTGGGGTGAGCTCCCGTCGTTCGATCCCAGCTCCTGCCCACCTAGCAGTTCGAAAGCACTCTTAAGTGCAAGTAGATAAATAAGTACCGCTTTATAGCGGGAAGGTAATGGCGTTTCCGTGTGCTGCGCTGGTGCTGGCTCGCCAGCTGCAGCTTCGTCACGCTGGCCATGTGACCCGGAAGTGTCTTCAGACGGCGCCGGCTCACAGCCTCTAGAGCGAGATGAGCACGCAACCCTAGAGTCGGCCACGACTGGCCCGTACGGGCAGGGGTACCTTTACCTTTATCTTTTATCTTTAAATACCGTATTTTTCGCACCATAGGACGCACTTTTTCCCTCCTAAAAAGCAAGGGAAAATGTGTGTGCGTCCTATGGAGCAAATGCAGGCTTTCGCTGAAGCCTGGAGAGTGAGAGGGGTCGGTGCGCACCGACCCCTCTCGCTCTCCAGGCTTCAGGAAGCTATCCACTAGCCGTGGGAGACCCAGCTCTCCCACGGCTAGCGGAGCGCTGCATTAATCCCGAAGCTTGGGGCCTGCGGAGCTCAGCGCGCCCCAAGCTTCTGGGTGCCGGCAAGGTCTCCACTAGCCGTCTAGCGGAGACCTTGCCGGCACCCAGAAGCTTGGGGCGCGCTGAGCTCCGCACGCCCCAAGCTTTGGGATTAGCGCTCCGCTAGCCGTGTCTAGGCTGCGGATAGCAGCCTGCTTCCCGGAGCGTCGGGCACCCTGAAAGCAGAGCGCCCAGCGCTTCGGGAACACATCCGCAGCGTGGGGACCCTTGCAGGAGTTCCCCGCAGGGCTCCCCACGCTGCAGATAGAAGCCTGCCGCCCGGCGTGAGGGGCGCCTGAAACAGAGCGCCCCTCACGCCGGGCAGACATCCGCAGCGTGGGGAGCCCTGCAGGAGTTCCCCACAGGGCTCCCCACGCTGCGGATAGCAGCCTGCTGCCCAGCGCGAGGGGCGCCCTGAAGCAGAGCGCCCCTCGCGCCGGGCAGACATCCGCAGCATGGGGAGCCCTGCAGGAGTTCCCCGCAGGGCTCCCCACGCTGTGGATAGCAGCCTGCTGCCTGGCGGGTGGGGCGCCCTGAAGCAGAGCGCCCCTCGTGCCAGGCAGACATCCGCAGAGTGGGGAGCCCTACAGGAGTTCCCCACAGGACTCCCCACGCTGCGGATAGCAGCCTGCTGCCTGGCGGGTGGGGCCCGCTGAAGCAGAGCGCCCCGCGCGCCAGGGAGACATCAGCCAGCCCTACAAGCTCGGGGGACAGCAGGGAGGCGCAGCGTCACTATCCCGCTGTTCCTTGACCTGGTTCAGTTTCCCTGACCTGCTTTTGGGGGGGAAATAAAGGGAAATTTTTTTTCCTTTATTTTCCCCAAAAAAAACTAGGTGCGTCCTATGGTCCGGTGCGTCCAATCGTGCAAAAAATATGGTAAATGGCTATTATCAGCCGTTCAAAACATATCTCAGCAGTGTGCGCGTGCACACACACAGAGTAATTCCACTGTAGCTGAACATTTGAGGGGCTAGCCGTACTCCAAACCTAGACTGTATAAGTTATTACCTTTCCCCAGAGAACACTGGGAATTGAGGTTCTGTGAGCAGGGGGCTAACAACATTCTCACCACCTATACCAAACTACAATTCCCAGGATTCTTTGGAGGAAGTTTCCACTTGTTTCACTCTGGAAAGGGTTATCATATCATAGAGTTGGCAGGGACCACGTGGGTCATCTAGTACAACCCCCTGCAATGCAAGAATATTTTGCCCGAGGTGGGGCTCGAACCCACAACCCTGATATTAAGAGTCTCATGCTCTACCAACTGAGCTATCCCAACATCATCATCATTTGGTGTTTGCTATTTAATAGGCGGGAGGAAAGCATCAGATATATATTAGAGAGAAACATTAATGGCCACGCAGAGGCAGCCCTGGGAAATAAAACATGTCTTAGCTTACATCATGAACAGTTGAGCACTTGGTGGAGAAGGAGCTGATTCAGGGTCTAAATTAAATCTCTGGCTTTGGCTAAAAATAGAGCAGCGAGGAGACAGCAGAGGATTATCTCCATCAGTAATGTGATACAGCAGCCTGCTGGTCCCTAAGGAATGGTGGTCTTCATGTCCATTGTCTGCATCTGCCTGTCCCTCTTTGTAGACTTGTGCAGGCTCTGCAACGACAAGATGAATTTAACAGGCATTTAGAAGGGCAAAGCTCATTAGCTGCACACATTGAAAGAGCCTCCAGTGCTCCCTGGAGAAAGTTGTGACATAACATAGGGGAAAAGGGATGTAAGCATATACCAAGAGAAGGTTGTGCGCATCAAAAATAGTTTAAAAGAAAAACTTTAAAACTGACATCCTAACAAACTTACTGGAAGGAAGTCCTACAGAACCCAGTGGTATCTAATTCTGAGTTAACATGCTTAGGGCAAGGCCACATGGTGAATATTGGAAGAATAAATTGCCAGTTGCATGCAAAGATGCTGCTTGGCTGAAGAGACTGAGGAACAGCCATACTTCAGTGGATTGGAGTCAGGGTTGACATGAATGAAACCTACTAGCAGCAGTAAGGCATAAGTGAATAAATCTTTCCATTATACGTCCTGAGATAATCGTTTTCTCGCACTCTTAAAATACTATGTGTTCATGAATCCTGACGCGACACTAAAAAGGTTATATGCTAGCTACATTAGGCAGTCCTTGGGCCTAAGTAGCTCCCTATAAAGAGATGAATGGGATTGCCTACATCCACCAAAGAACCTCTAAAGTAGGGTTGCCAAATTTTGAAGAGCAAAAAAGAGGACACATTTGCTGACTTCTTCTTTTAACTAGGGATCGCTATTATGACTACCCATGAAAAGGAGGACATGTCCTGGAAAAAGACCCTACTTTAAAATGGGTTGTATGACTCTTTTCAAAATATTACAAAACATCAAACAAATGAGCCATGTAATAATAAAATGGGGGGACACACCTTTTTACCCCTATCAGTTTCTTTCAGAGCACGCAAAGCCTAATTTTTATCTAAAGTTAAAACAGCTGAGCCAAAACAATTTATTAGGCTAAATAGATGGCATTTGCAATACATGTATTTAGTAGTAGTATTTATTAGATTTTTATTGCACCCTTCCTCCCAGTAGGCCATAGTGGCAAACAACAAAACAAACTCGCGCTCTCTCTATATATATATAAGGATTAAAGAGCTTGCGAGCTTCTAATAAATCTCTTTAAAGGGGGAAAAACACACATTAATGAATAGTGCTGCATTCTGGCAGACATCATGAGGAGCGAATCTGACCTAGTTTTCTTTCCCCTGACTTCTAAACTGTATTGACTGACAGCTTCTATAATTTATGATCATGGATCAATCACCACTCACACAATCCACCCAAGATAGATTTTATATTTACATTAAACGAAAGGGCAAGTTTTTCCTTTTCAAATAAAGACTGCCTATTGTTAACATTCTAGCTGGTCTTTAAAAGATGGAGTATGGGGTGAACCGGCACTTTGACACTTGGGGTGCATATGTATTTTCCTGGGAAACTATGCTTGTGTGTTTAATCATAAACAGATCCATACACCTGAGACGAGAGATAAGTGAGCTAAGACCTGTAGGAGCAGTTTGTACACTATGCATAGGAAATAACAGGGACACAATACTGACATTACAGAACAACACATCATGGAGGCCTGAATCCGGAGATTATTGCTATTCTCTCCACCAAACAGGTGCTCCACATTTCAGTTTGGTCATTCAAAGGTGGAGAGGGAGAGGGAGAAGGAAAAAGAGGGTACTTGGAATCAACCCCCTTTTCGACACACACAAAGCTGATAGCACTATGGTTATGCACACGTCCGTGCTTCAATACATTTGAACGCCCAAGTTCAGCAAGGAACCACAGTGTAAGCAGCATTGCAGTTTCCTACCCAGTAGTACCTTTGCACCTGTGCAGGGTTCGGTCCAGAAGAGGGTCCACAGACAGACACTCATTTGTCTGACAAGGCAACCTTGCTGCATTGTGTGCTGTGCTCTACTTTACATGCATTCTCAGGTAAGAACTTTTATTTTGCCTGCTCAGCTTCTAATCCTCTGCAGCCAAAGGCAGCTCACCAGATAAGCCAGAATGGGACACCTCTCCTGTTTCTGCAGTCCCAAGAAAGGGGTGTTGAGTTTCGCCAGCACATGTGATTGTGGCCCTCCAGATGTTGTGGAGTTCCAACTCCCATCAACCATGTTGGGAGTTGCAATCCAGCATGAAGCGGACTTTCAACCAGACCTTTGGCTAAAATATCTGGGAATTATGCAACTGCAGAATAGTTGCTGTGAGCTGTACACAATGTAGATGCTGCATGGCAACCACTTTAAACCACTCTGTGGGGTGGGACAAAAGCAGTTGCCCCACGGAGGCAGTCAACGCAGGTAATATTTTATGGAAGCCTATCATATGCTCCAGCCATGAATCTGCTTCTTCAAATAGGTTTGTGATCAGAACGTGTACAGAGAAATAAGGTCTTCCACAACAGGTTCCCCACATGGTTGAATTCACCCTGCCAGCCACACGCAATGACCTGCCGGCGAGTCTGACAACCGCCCTGTTATTGCAGAACTAGGCTGGAAGCAAAACCAAGCATACGTGACTGGTAACTGAACAACAAGATCATATGCAAGCTGTGCAGCTCTGTATTAAGGCAAGGCTAATCAAATTGGGGCAAAGGGAGGAGTTGGCTTCTTATGACAAATATTGTACCCTCACTTTTGTATATTCACATGGCTTTTCCTAACTGATTTAATGGCTCACCCCTAAGTTTGGTTCAATTGGCAAACAAAGGCCTAGGGTGAAATCAACTCCCTCAGCACAATGGCCACAAGCCATTTTGTTATGCTCCAAATATACAAAGATCAAGATTGAGGTTATTTTCCTTTATTTTATATATCCTGAACTTTGATGCAAAGCTTTTCCAGTGAGATCTGTGCCTCCGAGCTCATGAACAAGAGAAGTCCACAATTCTCAAAAGAGGGAAGTGCAGGGAAGTTGCGGGTGGCCAGGTAGAAAATAAAATCCTTCCAGTTCCAGTGCAACTTAAGAATAACTTACAAATGTACTAGCCCTGGAACAATGATCCTCATGGACACGAGAGAACGAATTCAGGAGAGATGTGCATTGGCTGCTTTTGAATGTGTGTGTGCTGGAGCAGCCGACAGCCTACCCTCCAAATGTTGTTGAACTACAACTCCCATCATCCCCAGTCAGCATGGCCAATAGTTAGAGCTATAGTCCACCATCTGGGCAGCATTACATTGGCTATGCCTGGTGCGTGGACTGAATTTTGCCATATCAGAGGAAGGCCGACCTTGAGCATGGAGGACGGTGGCTTCTTTCTTTCACCCCAAATTGATCTACTCAGCAATTTTAAAAGCAGAGTGGCTTGGGTCTCTTTTATATATCTTAAACCAAGACAAAATAAAGGATACTGATGGAAGCAGCTGGATGCATCTTCCTTTCTTTGCCTTAATTGGGGCACATCTAATGAGGCTCTCTCTAGCCCTTGAGAGCTATAGAGTTTTTGCACCAGTGGCTTTTAAGGATGTGAAATGCATCTCAAAAGGTAGAACTGCCAAACTAATTTGAGAGATTCTTAGAAAGAGATGGGTTAGCCTTTGCAAAATGACCGAGAATAAAAAGCTTTTGAAATAAGCTCTTTTGCTACAGTCACTTTATTTATCTATAAAAATTACCTTGGGATTAGGCCATGTAATACTGACCCATTTGCCTTAATGGAGACCACACACGGTCTGCAGATTTTAAGCTTGCCTATAACTCATCTGCTTGCTATGCTGGTCTTGCTAACTATGACCCACTTTCATGCACAGTGATTTGCCTTCTGCCTGAACCCAGGAATCCATCTCATGCCATCTGCGTGATTACAAGCTCTGAATTGACAGAAAAGAATCCCAAGCTTCAAATCCATTTATTTCCAACAGTTGATTTTGAGCGAGAGAAGAAAGGGGAGGAATGAACAAAAAAAGGATGCACACAAAAAAAGAGTGTGTTTGATGAGCAAGTCATTGGTGATGAAAATTAATGTGTGGCTTTTAAGTCTTCCACTTGCTCTGCTCAGGCAATCAATCTGCAATCAATAACAGAATGGGGAAATCAACAATGGCCTGGCAAAAGTGTGCGAGTGTGTGTGTTGGACAGGCAACAGACTAACAGTCACTGAAAAAGAGAACATGTTAGCACAATCCTAACAGTAGAACATAATCAGAAGTGAAATGGCTGGAAACCTACAAAAACCAATTTTGTGTGAAAATGAAGAAACTGGCCAAATTTAAGACAGTGCTCTTCCCCAAAGTAATCAGTATTTATATGAATCAAAACACACAAAATGGCATTTGGCTTTCCTTCATTTCTCCTCTCACAGTCACATGTGTGTGTGTATGACTGTATTAACTTTTATTCAATCAATAATAATAATAATAATAAATAACACTTGTGCCCCCAAATTATGCCTCAGCCCTCTGTGCTGTTTGAAGGGGGGGCTGCAATTTATTAGGTCAAGATGTATGCCACTGAGTTGCCTCTATAATCAGAAACAAGGACAGCCCATTAACAAAGACCTTCTCTTACCTCCACAACTCTCCCCATCAACTTGCACACTGCTGGTTGGGATCGATGAAGCGACTGGGTCTTTTGAAGCCGGCAGCTGTGGTGTTTCTTCCTGGTTCGGCAGAAATGCAGAGCAGAGGTCAGTTTCAAGGGCTTGCAGCTTCAGCAAAGAATTCTGCAGGCAAAAACAGAACATTGGGATAGATGGAGAGCAAGGGAATGGCAAGGATCAAGCCTTCAGCTCCTTGGGGCTGTCTGCAGGAAAGGCTGCTCCTCCTCGCAGCTCAGGGAAAGTGAATTAACTGCTTAGACATGCCATACTCCTTATGCGCCTTCGTTTCCTCCATCTATTTAACTGTTCTGGATTATTTATGACACAAGGGAAAGATCATCTCATCAGCAAAAAAGAAGAAAAGATTTGTTCCTGAAAGCCAGTCTGAGAAGCTGGAGGCTTTGCTCTCGGAGCAAAAAATGCCATGTAAGGATTTCACAGGTTGTGCTGATTGCAGGGCCTGGTGGCATTAAGCCCCTCCCCCTTTCCCATTCATAAAAAAGGAGAATAAAATCCCCCCCATAGCATATTTTGCAATACATTGCAGAAAGTAAAGGGTTACATTTCTAGACTCCTCTTTTTTTCCCCCTTTTTCTTTTTTTTTAAGCAGAGGGTTGGCTTTTCATTTCCCATCCTGCGCCAGGGCAAAATTAACAGATCTTTGTCATTCGCTGCAAACAAATCAATGACAGGCAAAGGCTCTTTATCTCTTAGCAGCTCCTCCAGCTCCTGTTTCACGCTTGATCCATTTCTCATTCCTAGTCTTGAATACAGAGTGCAATATTCTAGCCGCGTAATCTGACACAAGCATCTTGCTGGGATGCAAGCATTCCCACAGCCCTAATCATTCATGGACTGAGGAGGTGACAGAAGTCCGTGTGTAGGCCATGAAAGTACAATTTCTCTCCCCCCTCCCCCAAATGCAGGGCAGAGCGCAAAGGAGTTCATACCCTCTGAGCAGGTAACAATCCAAGATAAAGCAGAATGAGGAGAGCTTGTCAATGCTAAGGCGTAAAAGAGTATTGCCCCAAAAATGTGTGACCTCATATTTCTACAGCTTACATTTGATTTTAGATTGATTGATTGATTGATAGATAGATTGATTTGCATTCATACCCCAACTCTCCTCTACAGAGCTCAAGGTAGCAACCACAGTTCTTGGCTTCCCGATTTTACACTCACAACAACCCTATCAGAAAAGTTAAGCTGAAAGACAGTGACTGACCCAAGGTCACCCAGGGAGCTTCACAGCTGAGCGGGGGCTTGAACCCTTGTCTCCCAAGGCCCACATCCAGCAATCTAACCACTATACCACACTGGCTCTTAAACTGCAGACAGGCAAGTGACAGCCCAGGGAGAGGGATACAGGAGCTCAATCCAGCAATATCTTTATCCGAACCTAGAACCTCTTATACTGTATGCAAATATACCCTCAGCTAGAGTTCAGTTTTGTTTGCATTATAATGAGAAATCACCTAATCTGCATTTCCTGACCCTTATTTGAACCAAAACCCAGGTATCGTTAGAAATTCACACTTCTCAGAATTTTGTGCTACAGTTCTATCACTAAACAGTGTGTGCAAAAATGTGTGTATCTGGAGAAAGTATATATGAAAATGTAGATTTTAGTGAAAATGTGCGAAAATGTGTTGTTGGGGAAAAAGTTTGCAGAGACATGTTATATTAATGAAAATTGCACTAAAATGTGTTTATTAGGAGAAATTCACACTAAAGCACCGGTAAATTTTCATGATTCTTTTTTTAATGCAAATTGCTGGAGGAATGTGGAGAACTGGATTTAAGAATGGAAAAATGAGAAACCAAGAGAAACCAACATTGATAAGATTAATCCATCCCTACCCTACACCAATGTTTCTCAGACATCTGTTAACTGCCAGGTGTTTTCTGAATCAAAGCTGGAAGAGACACTTCATATATTCTTCTTGTGGGGTGGGGGGGGGAGAAAAAGGTTTAACTTTTAGAGTGTGCAAGAGTGACAAATGCACACCCTCACAGGAGTTTAGCTTCTGGGTTTCTGCATGAACCACTTGTCCTGCAAATATCTCCTCCTCCTCCTCAGGCAAATAACTTGTGCCCCTTCTCTGCACCGGGAAGAACTGAACAAACCAAACTGCATTCTACACAAAAGACATTGCACCGTCACCCATCCAGCAGAGGCAGACAGGAAGAAGGCAAGGCCAGAACATTCAGCATTAGAACTTCCCTCATCCAGAGATACAGGGTGGCTTTTGGCTCATAGGAGGGTTAAATGATTTAATTCATTTTGTTTCAAGAACTTCTATGTTGCCTTTCATCAGGCAGGGAGGGCATTGTTTCCAGGGCAGGGTGCAGTGCTGTAAAATAACTAACAACCCAGCAGCAAAATTTGAAGCAACGCAACACAATCTACAGAGGGTAAATCCACAGCATAACCTAAAATGCTTCTTCATGGATCACTGCCTTGCTGTGGCGAAAGGGCTTGAATAACTCAAGAGAAGCTATGCTGTGCAGGGCCACCCAAGATGGACAGGTCATAGTGGAGAGTTTTGACCAAACGTGATCCACTTGGAGCAGGAACCGACAAGCCACTCCAGTATCCCTGCCAAGAAAACTCCATGGACAAAGACAACAGGCATATAAAAATGCTTAGGTGAAGGAGAAAAAAACCTGCCATCTGGAATATAAATAGTATTAATTTAGGCACTAGTTGGGTTTCTGTGGGGAGCTCCTTTAAGTGGGTACCACAGCCAAAAATGCCCTTTCCCCTCCCCACCCTCCAAACTAACTTCTGGTGATGAGGGCACCCAGAAAAGGGGATTGGTTGGTAACTGGGGTTGTGGTCACTGACCCCTAACTCTCTCCAACACCATCTGTTTGTGGGGAGTGTTGCTTCCTATGTGACTTTGAACCCATATAGTGCGGAGTTCTAAATCATGCAAGGAGCCCACCCATATAGAGAATGCACACCACTTCAGATTTCTCCCCTCCAATGGGTGATGTGTAGAGAAACCAGCAAGTGCAGTCCTGCAGTCGTAATACTGCAAGAGAGGATGTTCAAATGGGGATTGATGGAGCAGTCTTTCTGGGATGTTTCTCTGCTGATCTTCCCATTGGAAATCCCCGCTAAACTTCTTACAAACCATAGAGCTCCCCAGAACAGTTTGTACATCACTGCCCTGGGAGGCATCAAGAGAATAAGCAGGATATGTCTGAAATATCTCTCTCATTTGGCTGACCAGACAGAAGCAATTAACTCCTTCATCAAGAGGAAAATACACTCCTCAATTTAGAATAATCCTACATATATATATATGTTCCATAATTAACAGCTGGCACTCTTTACTAACTATGGTACAAAACTGCCCAAGAAGACTAATGTGTTAAAAACTGGGTGGTCAGTGCTGTTTTTAGCAATGCCGATCCTGTAATATACTCATTTTTAGAAAAATTAAATCAGCTCTAAATATATATTTTCCCCATCTGTTGCAGGCATGAGGTTTCCAGCAGATTTCCAGCTACCGTTGAGGGATTTGAAATAAAAATATATTTTTTAAAAATATATTTTTAAACATGACCTTGATAGCGACTTGGCATACAGAACCAATATAAATAACTGCAAAGCGTCAAGTCTGAAATCTCTCATTTCTTACTGTTTCCTCTTTTCAGGGGGATGGGCCAATGAAGTGCTATCGAAAGGTGGAGGAAAGCTGTTCCAAAGGTGAACCCCTGGAAAATAAGCCATTCTCCTAATGTACACATTTACTTCATATGCCTGAGCCACAACAGCATTAAGAATGTAAGAAGGGTCTTGCTGGATCAACTAAAGGCCTCTCCAGTCTAGCATGGCATTTCCCACAGCAGAACGTCAGATGCCTCTGGGAAGCCATCAAGCATAGCATGGCCACAATTGCATTCTCCTGCTATTTCCTAGAAAACGGTATTCAGAGGAATGGCGCCTCTCAACCCGAAGCTTCAATATCAATCACTTGCAGCCATTGGCAAGACATATCATTCCTCCTCCTGCCCTGATTCGCTGATAAAAGTTGGCAGCTCCAGACCTTGAGGGGAACTATGTTTAAGGAGCTGTGCACAAGACAAAAATCTACCAGGTACAGCTCTTCCCCTCACTGCAGCACTATGGAGGGGGAAAGTCACTTGTAGCAAAATTCTGCTTTCTTTATGACTCTTACAGCACAGTCCCACTACGTGTGTTTGTTCAGAAGCAGGTCCCACAGCATTCAGCCAATATCCCACAGCCAATATGTGTGCTTAAGATTGCAGGTCTTTAAAAAATGCTTTATTTTGGTTTCTAGATATATATATTTTTTCAAATCTTAAATTAGGTTCTCCACATTTCCACCGCAGTTTGTGGTCCTCAGGAAAATTCGTCAGCCCTTTAGTGTGGGTATCTCCTAATATAAATATGTTTGTGTGCAATTTTGCCTTACATTCATATATTGACAGAGCAGTTTTCTTAATATAATGTCCTCTGCGGTATTTACAACAATATATCCATTTCTATGTACACTCCAAAAAATGAAGGGATGCATTTTTTAGTATATTGCTTGGCAGGAGAAGTGCACTGCAAAATTCAGAGGAGTGTGGATGTCAAAGAATGACTGTATTTTTGTTGTCCTATTGTTTTGGGAAATGTGAATTAGGTACGCTCACCTTTAAATGTGAACTGAATTGAATTTGTCACCCATCCCTAGCTTTGACACCTCCTTTCACTCATTCATCACTACCACTCATGGCTTCCAAATGTCTCCTGCTTCCTGAAATGGCTCCACCCATTTTCCCTAGCTGCCTCTTATGTCTGGAATGGCCTCCCAGAATGCCTCTGTGTTACCAGCTCTCTTATTTCCTTTAAACCGTCCTCAAAACCCACCATTTCAAGGAAGCCTTTGGGTCAACCTCCTACTCCCTGTATCTTTCTGCAACTAAGGTCACATCCACACCATACATGTAAAACACATTTAAGGCACGTGACTTTTGCTGCCCCCCAAAGAATCTTGGGAACTGTAGTCTGTTAAGGGTGCTGGGGATTGCAGCCCTGTGATGAGTAAAATACAGTTCTCAAGATTCTTGGAGCGGGGGACAATGTGCTGTAAATATATAGTGTG